CAGCGAATGTAACATTGATTGATGAATGCATATTGATCGATACAAATTGACGATTAATGAAACGAAACTGCGGTTTGCGAGGTTTATCGGAAGGATATAAATTATCGGTTATCTTGCACCGAATTTACAGCGTACACTCGGTTCTTTCTTTCTCTTGCTCGCCGGACTCGACAATCTCGCAAGGAAATTCGAAGCACGGAACGGTCGTCGTGCAAAATCGATCGGTAACGCGCCGGTTTTCGAATGGAAGTCACAGAGCTCTCTGCCGCTCTGACTGCCGGCAGTCTTCATTTCAGAGGAGACAGAGGAGATCGCGCTGCGATACTCAAATGCCAATGATCTGTAGCAGTGCGCGTCCGATCGATCGCGGATCGCGCTCATCCGACGCGCGGCGTCGACGAGAATTCCCGGTCGCTGTCACGGACAGTTCCTCGATACTCGATTCAGTTTTACGTAGCCGATCGGACCCCGACTCTATTTTTGTCGCGGATTTGTTTTTGAAGCACGATAAACAGCGCAGGATCGGCCTAGCTAAGTGCTCTCGGCAGCGAGCGGATGTTACTCCGCCGCGGCACTCCGATAATCTATCCAGCAACGCTCGAATAAATGATTCTTTTTTTGTTGCTGCTGCAATCGTTCCCGCGGCAGCGAATGCGACACATGATTATTGAAAAATAAAATACGCTGATGGTACGGTGATTCGGCACGATACCCACGTATAGCATTGTAAGACAAATATATTTCCAAGCTCACCGAACGATAATCGAGTCTCTCTCGTCCGATGATAATTGAACGTGTTTATTTCAGAAAGAGGTTCGTCGCCGAAATGTCAAAAATCACACACGTGAACATACACGTGATGTTTCGTCAGTGATAAATTTCACGTCGATTAAACGTCGCGGGGAGACGTAAAGTAAAACAAAAAAATGCTCAAGGGACGATACTTGAATTATAATCCTCCTGTGTTCCCCCGAAATGCAAGAATACACAAGCGCACGTTTCGCCGGAGATTTGTTTACGCTAGAGAGCAGGATATGCCATCCCTGCTGCTGATTTATTCTCCTCGTGCGTGTAACGAATCTTTCATAGATTACATCGTTGCGCAACGTCGCGTAATCCACTTTTTTAAACGGCCGTTCATTTTTGCACCGCGCTCGGTTTCCGTTGCCTACGTAGGAAATCGCAAAATTGCCGCGTAAATCAAGCGCGCGCGTCGCGAGAAAGGAGGAATGTATCCCGGCCGCGTCATCGAGATCCAATAATTTCGCGACGACATCCCTCGATTATTCTCGTCTCTTGCGCCTTTACCGGCAGAGTTCATTTGTTGCCGAAGGCAAAAGCGCTGAAGCACGCGCTAAGTAGAAAGCGGCCCGATGTGTGTACCCGTTCGCATCTACACGAGTCTCGCACACGGTTCTGAAGAAGCGGCATACAACTCTCGAACGCACATTAATCAAGAAGAGATGAGGAGAGTTGCCGCGGAGAAGCCCGAACTATGCGCGCGTCCGTGTGGCAAACAATGCGCGACAAAAGAATTTAATTTCATCGGCCGTGATAAAGGGAAGCGGCGCCGCGCTTGCGTGCGATATTTTATTTACTTACCGGCAGAAAGGCGCGGCGGAAAGCGATTATCCTTGAACACCCGCGAGTTTGCCTCGGTTATTCTCCACCGAGAGCGTTTTCCTCGCTTCTCCGCGAACAGCACGCATGTTCGAATGAAAAACGGAAAACGAAAAAAAAAAAGGCGCAAATACGACGAGAACGTATTATCGCGTATCGCGGAGGGCGACGATTACTACCGTAATCATCACGAAGTTTTGTCCAGCGTGTCGATGAAAATAATAGATATAACGATCAAACGGGGACCGGCGTTTATGTATAAAAATCTCGCGTAATCGGCATCCGGCGGCCAGACATTTTTGCACAGCGCGCACGGCCGCGCATGCAAACAATTTCTGGCGAACGCGTAACGATCGGCCGTTCGGCCAAATTCAATTTCGCGCGGAAACGACGTGCTACGGCCGTCATGCTCCGGCCGTTCGCTCGTGCCACTGCGCCGCGCGTGCCGCATAAAGCACGTAAGAGAGCGAGAGCTTCATCTAGCATATAGCACGCGCGCGCGAGCACGGAAAGCAATTTCTTTTCATCTCGCGAGAACGATATCGCGCGTCCTGACAGATGCCGCCGCCGCCGCGCCGGTAGCCGCGCATACCTGCGGCGCCGTGCGCCTTACGGATTTATGTGTCTTCCGCGGAAATTAAATAATGGCGAAGCAGCGCCGCGCGATTGCAGTCAGAAAGAGAGAGAGAGAGAGAGAGAGAGAGAGAGAGAGAGAAAGGGAGGGAGAGAGAGAGAGAGAGAGCCTTTCCTCCGCACGTATTTTGTACTTGCACTTTAATTGATGTTTTTGCGTGAACAGAGAGAGAGAGTGACGATTGCGAGAGGAACAATACAACGTTACGTTCGTCGTCGCTCGACGAAACTCGGCAGAAAGTTCACGAGCGAAACGCTTCGTTTCAGCGCGCGCTCTCATCCAGTGTCAGTTTCCTCTCATTCGGCGTAATGTGAATCCGAGAATCAGCGCGCGAATTTTTACGATGTTAACGCGATAGCGTGAAGCCGTACTTTGCAGACCGTTCCGAAATCGCTGCCGTTTCGTTACGTACTGCATATGACAAGTTACCCTGTTTTCTGTCAGTATCAGGAATCTATATGCACACGGTATCCTAACAATAATTTAATTTATTTAATTAACCGTGTAACGTAGAATCGCGTTAATAATTCCTACAGGTTCGAACGGAATGGCGCACGTAACGCATCCTCGATTTTCGGTCTGCAAAATACAAATTACATATCCGACACGATCATCCCCCGGTCGCAAGGACGAGAGAAACTTTCGTACTATCGTGCTCTCTCTCTCTCTCTCTCTCTCTCTCTCTCTCTCTCTCTCTCTCTCTCTCTCTCTCTCTCTCTCTCTCTCTCTCTCGCTCGCTCGCTCGCTCGATCTCTCGAAAGTCTCCGGCGAAATACATCGTCGGACGCGTCAAAGTGATTGTATCCCGCGTAATTCGTCGAGAACGGAAAGAGAGCTCGTACATCCGCCCTCCCTCCACAAAGTTAGATTAAACAATCGATCGGTTAACGGATAGCGAGAGATTTGATTAAGTAAGGAATTACGATGAGTAAGAGCCGCTATCGCAACACCGACGTAGTCTCATCACGCTCGGCATTAGGAAGATTTAAAACGCGCGCGGCGATATTTCAACAACGCCCGCGTAAAGTATCGCGCGATCCGTGCCCTCTTGTATAAAATAATATATATATATATATATTTTTTTTTTTCAATAAACGCCCATCAGTCGCCTACGTCGCTAGCGACGTTAAATCCGCGCGCATCGATCGAGACGCGAGGGGCCGCTCAGCTGGGATGAAAGTCGCGGAAAACTTCGTTGCCCGCGGAGAAGTCTGCCGTCGACACACAGCGTTCGTTGTTGCTCGTGTCTGTTTGTGACCGCGGCAGACGAAAGACGTTACCCGTCACGACGTTATTCACAGTCGAACGGTGTTTGTCGCGAGACGCCGAGATCGTGCACAGCCGTAACACGACACGAAAGCGGTCGATAAAGACATCGATACGATACGGTGAAAAAGTAATTTTCGAGACATACGCGCTGGCAGCAGGCGCGACGTGATAATCGATGTGATGACAAGGCGAGATGAAAAATTTTATATAAACTGCGCGGCCATATCTATGCTTTATTCCCGCACGGACGCCACGTGCACGGTGAAATCCACTTTGGGCGGGCGAAATTCGCACGAATGGCACAAATGATAACGCCCGCCATCGCGATCCCCCGCGATATCGCGCTTGTTTGGCACAAAATGCTAAACTTGTTACCGAGGATGACGAAAGTTCTCCACGGCGGAAAACTGGACGCGAATTTCGACATTGATAATTCGCGCTTGACGACCTATCGGACTTGTCCTAGGGCTGTTTCGCGGGAACACGCACGTGCGTGCATTGTACGGGAGGAAAAAATTACTATTTAATTAACTCATAACGCGTACGTACCAGCACGAAAATTTAATTCGCCGACCGCAATATCGACGTGGTTACGCGCGCGAAATTATGCCGGCACGACGCCGGAAGAGGGCAGAGAGAGAGAGAGAGAGAGAGAGAGAGAGGGCAGAGAGAGAGAGAGGGCAGAGAGAGAGAGAGAGAGAGAGAGAGAGAAATATTTGAATACGCGCGAATGTGTCGGCAGGACGTTACCCGCGCGCGCAGGACATACGCGGGCAAGGATTAGTTAAACGGTCAATGTTTAACTACGACCCCGTGTTACGCAACTACAATTTGGCGACTTCGTCCGAGAGAGCAAGACGACAATAAAATCCACTTTACTAAAAGCACAGCCGAGAGAATTAATTCGGACGGACTATTACTCTCCAGCCGGATGTCGCGTCATTAACGCCTCATCATGTAACTATGCCGTGCGCCAAATTATTCGCGAAGCTGTCGGCGGCAGTATGAAATAGTTTCGAAGCGTATGCCCCATTGTGTGTCTACCTGTATTATTATTAATATTATTGCTGTCATCGCATCTTCCGGCGCTCTCTCGCGAGTCTGGCTCGGCTGTAACGTAATTTTCCGCGACGAGACGTATCGCGTCGCGTGTCGCTATTTGTGATTTATCGCGCTGTGCGATGTTACACCGTGCCTAATGAGGCGTAAGACCGCCTCATGAACTAAAACACCGCGAGCCCGCGCTGACTTTTCTATTAGAAACCGCGATTGATGGCGTCGAACTGTCGGTGAGGTAATTAGCGGCGAAAAACGAACGAGCGGCCGAGGGAGCGGAGGGACACGAAGGTGTGCCGACGCCTTTGTGTGCGCAGGAAAAAGGAAGCGCTGCCCATTAGAATGCAGTGTGTTGGTCTGCAATCAGATCGGTGCAGGCTTCTAACTAGGAGGGGAACCAACAATAGCGAAGGATACGAACCTGTGTCGAAACGATCGATCCTTTCACGGATGTTCTCGATGTTCATTTCGAAGAGTCACGAGGACTCCAAGGACGACCGCAGGCATGTGTCGTTTCTGGAAATATTCGTAAGATGCGACTGCTGTTATGCCAGTTTGTGTCATCGCGCCGGCGTAAATTCCGCACGAAAAGTTACAAATTCCTCCTCTCCTGAAATATACGAAGTACTTTCGTTAGTGACGGCAGAATGGGGTCTAAGAGCGCGTACGTAAAGGGGACGAAGGGGCAGAATCGAGCGAACGCGCGCGTTCGGAGACTGTTCCTAACCATTCCTAGCTGTACGAAGCTGCATTCGAACGCCAGGCACGTGACTTTGTTACGAGATAATGCTACTTCCGAATTTATACCTAACCTCCGCCTTAGAGACTCCGGCGGCTTCAGATTCCCTAATTAACGAACGAGAGGAGACAAAGCGCGACCGTCGCCAAAGAGAGATAACGCACGCCGTGTCAGATATAAAATTAATTTTACATATCCCGGCTATTGTATATTATTCTAACGCCCGGTCAGATTGAGCTCCAACGGGAAGATCCGGGATATTAATACTTCATGTCCCGACCGTTTCTTTCGCATTAAATCGGAAGCGGCAGAATTAGAATATATCCTCGTCCCTTGAAGATTCTTTGCGACGGAAAGAATATTGGCACTAGAAAAGCGAGTTTTGGCTATTTTCCGTTTTTACTTCACTATCCGATCCAACGGGAAACCTCATTTTATTCGATCAACAAACGTAAACGTCGGGTTGTCTCAAAAGCGACAGATACGACCCGCTGTAATATTGAAATTGTGTCGTCGCGTAAGGTGCGATCGTGCTCATTGAGTATATTTAAATTCGAACGAAACGAGTCCAAGGGGTGAATGTACCTCCTTACCGAGCTTACAAAGGGCGGCAGAGAGAATCCCCGGCGACGTTAAAAGCGCGTGTCTAAACGCCCGGTGACGAAAGGTCAAAGGATCGAATATCCAGATAGCCCACGGTAATTTGAATGCGGTAGTTTGAAATAAAAGGTCACGCGAAAGCAGAACAAAACGGACCTCTGTGTACAGACGACGTATGAGCGGCTAATGGAAGCCGGAGGAATCACGGAAAGAGGGAAGGAGCACAGGAGGTCCTCTGCGCGGCGGTGGTCGGGGGAAAGAGAAAAGGCGGACGAGGAGGCGGGAAACGAGAAGGGGCGGGGGGATGGGTGGGCTCGAGCGAAGCGGCAGAAGAGAAGACTCGATTACACGTCACCAGCAGCCCGGAGTCTATTTGGAGTCGCAATCGGTTTTTCATTACCAAAAGCCTCTCGCCGGCTTTATACCAAATTGTACATTCGGCGACCCTTATAAAACTCATCGAGTCCTCAACGGCCGCGCCGCGAACATTGGAACGCGGCGGACGGCTGCATAATTGATCACCTGGTATATATCCGCCCTCCCCTCCCCCCCAAGTGCTGTCTATGACTTCTGGCGAACGCCGCGGCGGAATAAAAGAACGCGAGCGTGCTGTTCGCGTCGAATCGTCCTCGATTCGCGGAAATGGATTGTGTGTGTCAAAGTGTGTGATGCGCGGTAAATCGATCACGCGGATCACACTCGCGCGAGATTCGTGCGCGAGTTTCTCCTCGCCTGTGATTTCCTATCGCAATCTTCTCGAGACGCACGCGTCTCGCGCGTGACTGTGTTCTTCTTGTTTGTCTTTGATTGAAAAATGAGCGCGTACAAACATCGGACGGTGTCGCGTTAAATACATTCACAGTCAACCGTTCCGTATGCATATGCGTCGAGTCTAGCAATTACGTCTTCGTATAAATGATGATGATCTCCCGCATGCTCCCGAAGTCTTGAGTTTTTGATACAAGAATGTCGGAAAAATGCTTCCGCTTCAGAGTGAAAAGAGTGCTTACGCTTTGAGGATCCTTTGATTTTTTACGCAAAACAGATTAGAGGGATGATATAATTCGCGTTAATCTAAACAAAATATATTCACCTCCATGTTAATTTATTGTCAGTGTTTCGTACGATCGCGGTAGAGGAGGGGTAAAACAGTCAAGTCACCTCCTAATGGTTAACTTCGTCTCGACGTAACCATAACCTATATGTATCAGTCGCTGCGTCCAACTCTCAAACAACAGCCGATAAGAAGCCGTAATGGCTTCGCAGATCAGAATTTCCGGTTAAATTGGTTATGTGAATTTCGCAATTTCTATTAGCGCAACGTACGCGTTTAATCATTGGCGATAACCAAAACTAGGTTCTAATTACTATATACATACCTGAATTAATTTGTCCATTTGATAGCTCGATTGACACTTTTAATAGTCGATTACACGAGAAAATGATGCAATTATCGTCGACGATTAGTCCGACAGGCATTAGTTATGGTATCGACAGAATATCCTGGGCACATATACGCACACATACGCACACGAACGAGACCACGGATTATGACGCGGCAAACGGCGGTTATTTATTATCGCCAGCATTGATTAAAGCTATGTCACAATCGCCCGGTACTTTGTCCGACACTCTCGATATCTATCCGCACACGAGATTGCTTTATAACGAGCAAAAAATGTGCAAAATACGTTTGACGAAGCTACACTCCGAGTTGATCCGACGCGAAATATTAATATGGCGACTGGCGGTAATAACGAACTTTCGCGCTCGCGCATGCGCAGTATACTCTGCAATTTCTTTGGTCATAAAACGCGTAATTTTCTCTAGTGGTGAAAGATGAGTTCTTTCTCTTTATCAGGCATTTTTCACCGATTAACACTAGTCGACACAAATCGTACTGCAGAATCACTTCAACAGACCAAGGTGTATGACCTGCCATCTTCATGTGATACAGCAAAGACTGTAACGCTTGACATGCTTGAATTGATTAAAAGCACCGACGAGGTAATATCAGCGTCTTGGTCGGTGCTAAAAGCCCATCTTATTCACATACCTGTTACCATCCATGCTTATTTCGAGCTACGTTTCATATTTCGGCCACGATATTCCAAAGAGGACGTTAGTGCACAGCAAAATTTCTCTGGTACGCTAAATCCCGTAAGGCCAACAGCAGAGAGGAAGCTGAGAGCGGCCAACACGGTGTTTTCGGCGACACCGATTTTTCGCACTGGAAATGGGCGCCATCTACATCTATTTTGAGAGGAGAACTACGATGCTGCATCCACTTTTAGGTCTTGGTGGTAAAATCTGCATGTGTTGGAAGTCCGTGCTACATCCACTTTCAGGCGGTTTATGTCCGTGCTGCAACCATAGTTATTATCTCTATGGCAGATAATAGGCCTGTTCGTTTTGTCTGCACTGTTGAACTGATGTTAAATGTTATTTATTATCATTGAATATTAGATGAAAAGTAGAAGAGTTATTGTCCGCAGCGGATAACAACTTTGACATTCTGTACAATTAGTTGCTAACATATTTTCTAATCGTACACATTCCTTTTTAATTAACATAAAGCTAACAAATATCCGATGCTTCGACAGAATAATTTTCTTTATTTTCAGTAATCAATAAGTAGTAAATCAATGTCGCGTATAGTTGAAAGGCCTCCTGGCATTCCCCTCGTTGTCCCGGAACCTTCGAGAAAAGAAAAGATGCTCAAGGGCAAGTCTCTCTTGCTTCAATCGCCGCAATGTTTCATCGCGCCGATTGTGTTGATCGGCTCGCGAGCGACGACACTTTTTGCCCTTCGTTTGACGTTTGACGAATTTTCCGGGAATAAGAAGTCGGAATTTCGCGCTCGGCATTCACGATCCGTCATCATCCGACTAGTAATCATAGACACTTTATGAATCTGCAGTTACCCTCGTCAATCTCTGTCTTTCTATCTATTTATTGCGTTGTTGTATATGTTACGGTTAAAGTGATGAATCCAGTTACTATGCATAATAACCAACAGCTTTGGTTAATTTGATAAATTATTCATATTTTTGTAATTAACCGTTTTTGTAAATACACCGTATATATATAGAGAGAATTTACAAGTACATTTTATTATAATTAAAATGCTGTCATATATGTATAAAACAAGTTTTAGTTCTACATAGTTTTTGGTGCAGCTGCGCCAAGATTCTTTGTATTAAATATTTTTTATTGCATTGTTATAATAATTAGTTTGTTACAATAACAAGTAAAATAACCATATAACTCAGTGTTCTAATAAACAATGATAAATTTTACTTGTAAAAATTTATGTTATGGACATTTTTTGTAGCTAGGTTTTCTTGAATATTTTGAATAACATAACCTTTGAAAAGATATTTTTTTTAAATATTGGACACTATTAACAAACGTGTTAAAATTTTATAACACGATATAATTTTTACTTTTAAAAGTTTATGTACATATATATCTTACAAAAAAAATAATTTGATAAGTTTTACTTATGAAAACTTATGTTATGTACATAATATTTAAAAAGATATTTTTTTAAATATTGGACACTATTAACAAACGTGTTAAACTTTTATAACACGATATAATTTTTACTTTTAAAAGTTTATGTACATATATTATAAAAACTTATGTTATGTACATAATATATATTTAAAAAAGAAAATAGTTTGAATTTGAAATTTCTAAAAATATTAAGTTAAGTATACAATAATCATATATATATGTTAGGTTTCTCAGTTGGCGCTACTGTTTTAATATATCACTTCTTTTGTACAGTAGAAAAGTGTTGCAGAGTTTTATTATAGTTATAAGTTTTACTTGTAAAAACTTATGTACACATATATACAATAAAAAAAATAATTTGAGTTTGATACTTCTAAAAATAACACAATACGTGTTGCGCTTGTACTTGGCGCCCTTTTCTTACCTTTTTGTTTAAAAAGGTAAGTTTTATATAATATTAAATATACATACGTTTCACGTATAACGTGATTGACTTGGAATATTCCACGCTATTATTCATAGCGACGCATTCATACTTTCCCTGATCTGTTACATCGGATTCGATAATCTGCAAGGCACCTGAAACATAAAATGTGATATTCTCGAACAGCGTTCCTCGCAGAATTTTCTTGTCCAAAAAAAGATCAATGATGCGATCGCAGATCTCGTATATGTCATGTCAATAAAGGCAATTTGAATTCGGCGTAATATGATTCTTGGAACAGACGTAAATAAGTATTGTGAAGTTTGAAGCGAGTCTCTCACAGGCATGCTTTGAAAACACGAGTTGTTTTCATTTTCAGCTAACGGACGACGCAGGCATCAACACTGATCGGCAAGGTCAGCGACTGGTGGGGGGTAACCGTGCCTCCTCGAAAGTTTGTTTTTGTACGCTTATGTATGACTCCGTGATTGCGGAAAGGACATTGCGCCTCGGGCCGACGAACGACGCGCATACCGCGACGCAGTACGAGTGTCGGTAGTCGTATCGCGGTTAATACGCGTTTCTTTGTCCCCGAATCTTACTTGCGCGAGTGTTAGAGTTAGAGTCAGTGTCGTCGCCAGTGCTACGATGGAGTATCCGGAGGTGCTGCGACGGAGACCAGGAGGAGGACGTCGGATCGAGAAGTCAGGATGGAGAGAGGACTTGGAGCGCGCCGAGAGACGTAGCCGAGGACAACGATACATCATGTATGGTATTCGAGGTATCTCGAGTTATTATTATTACGCATTATTATTTTTCTGATTTTAACGGACCTTACTCGAAGTAAGGACATACCCGAGTCGAAATTAGATCAGCATTCATAGTTTATCATCTGAAAAAAAATAAAATAGCTTGAGATTTGATTATTCGTTAACCTAATTTCACGTAACATGAGTTCTACTTTTCTCTTCTCATAAAATATGAATGTCTATTCAAGCAAGGTTGCTGAGGCAAGCTAAGGTTTATAAATACAAATTTTTAATTATGTTCTCAATGAAAAATTGCACATAATTTAGAAAACTATGAATAATGATCTCACAATCTGATATAAATTTTACAAGTGTTGATTTTTATTCGTCTAATAATGCTCAAATTGCTGTTTTCGTTTAGAATCTGCTAGAATGTCCGTTTCTCATTCTTGTTTATCTTTCTTATTGTACCGAATCTGAATTAAAATCTCTATTAGTGAAACAGCATTATTAGACATAACCGTTGTCTTTTTGCAGCTTCAGCTCTTTTGAGAGCTACAATTCTCATCATTCTCATTAGAAAAAAGAAAAGAAAAAAAAAGAGAAGAAAAAAGGAAAAAAGAACTTTGAGAATGATGAGAATTAAAAGTGTTTTTCATCTCCCCATTTCCTCTAATTCTTATATGATTATTTAATCCTTATATATTTATCTCACGCGCAGTTCTAACAAAGGCAGTTCTATTTACGTTTTTATCTTTGTTTTCTTTCTTGCGCTGTTAAGCGAATATATAATCAACACCAACAGAAATTGCTCATTTAAATTAAGAATATAAGGATTAAGTACATATACATTATCGAGATAAACGAGTAATAACTGCGGAATACGTCGCTGTTGAAGACTCATCATGGGCAAGACTGCGAGATTAGCCAGATGTAACGTTCAGGTAGGACAAAGCTTGTTCACTATTGCACATCTAGACATTCTGTATTGATTTTTCAAATTGGATGCAATTTGCAGGATCAATGTAGAATTAATATTTCGACTCGGAAAAGACTTTTTTTTTTATCAAACCTGAAAAATGAGAACGAATTGTCATTGCACTTGGACAATCTTCTGACACTGATTTCTGGTATTGATCGATATTCGATTTTCGGTACTGATTTACTCTTTCACTCCTCTACAAGAAAAAAAATTGATACGACTAGTTCATTTATCCGCGTTAATTTGATGAATAAATTAAATATTGACCGGTTTTCAATTTTCGGTACTGATTTATTCTCTCATTTCTTTATAAGAAAAGAAAAATTGATACGGATCGTTCGTTTAACCGAGTTAATTTGTTGAGTAAATTAGAGGAGTAAGTACCTGAAAAATGAGAACAAATTGTCATTGCACTTGGACAATTTTCTGACACTGATTTACGATATTGATCGATATTCTATTTTCGGTACTGATTTACTCTTTCATTTCTCTATAAGAAAAAAAAATTCATACGAATCGTTCATTTATCCGCGTTAATTTGATGAATAAATTAAATATTGATCGGTCTTCAATTTTCGGTACTGACTGATTCTTTAATTTCTTTATAACAGAATAAAAATTGAATACGAATCGTTCTTTTATCCGACTTAATTCATTGGGTAAATTAATGGGATAAGTATCTGCAAAATGAAAACAACTTGTCATTGCACTTGGACAATTTTCTTGACATTGATTTATGGTATTGATGATCAGTCTTCGGTTTTCGGTACTGATTTATTTTCTCATTTTTTTATAAGACAAAAAATTGATACAAATCGTTCGTTTATCCGAGTAAATTTGTTGAATAAGATTAGAGGGGTAAGTACCTGAAAAATAAGAACAAATTGTCATTGCACGTGGGCAATTTTTTAACACTGATTTATGGTATTAATCGATATTCGATTTTCGGTACTGATTTATTCTTTCATTTCTTTATAAGAAAACAGAAAATTAATACGAATCGTTCATTTATCCGCGTTAATTTGATGAATAAGTTAAATATTGATCGGTCTTCAATTTTCTGTACTGACTGATTCTCTAATTTCTTTATAAGAGAATAAAAATTGATACGAATCGTTCTTTTATCCGACTTAATTTGTTGAATAAATTAGTGGGGTAAGTACCTACAAGATGAAAACAACTTGTCATTGCACTTAGACAATTTTCTAACGCTGATTTATAGTATTAATCAATATCCGATTTTCGATACTGATTTAGTCTTTGATTTCTCTATAAAGAAAAAGAGATTGATACAAATTGTTCATTTATCCGCGTTAATTTGATGAAAAAATTAGATATTGAATGGTCTTCGATTTTCGGTACTGATTTATTTTCTCATTGTTTTATAAGACAAGAAATTGATATGAACCGTTCGTTTATCCGAGTTAATTTGTTGAGTAAATTAGAGGGGTAAGTACCTGAAAGATGAGAACAAATTGTCATTGCACTTGGACAATTTTATGATACTGATTTATGGTATTAATCGATATTCGGTTTTCGGTACTGATTTATTTTCTCATTTTTTTAAAAGACAAAAATAATTGATACGAATCGTTCGTTTATATAAGTTAATTTGTTGAATAAGATTAGAGGGGTAAGTACCTGAAAAATGAGAACAAATTGTCATTGCACTTGGACAATTTTCTAACACTGATTTATAGTATTATTCGATATTCGATTTTCGGTACTGGTTTACTCTTTCATTTTTCTATAAGAAAACAAAAATTCATACGAATCGTTCATTTATCCGCGTTATTTTGATGAATAAATTAAATATTGACCGGTTTTCAATTTTCGGTACTGATTTATTCTCTCATTTCTTTATAAGAAAAGAAAAATTGATACGGATCGTTCGTTTAACCGAGTTAATTTGATGAGTAAATTAGAGGGGTAAGTACCTGAAAAATGAGAACAAATTGTCATTGCACTTGGACAATTTTCTAACACTGATTTATAGTATTATTCGATATTCGATTTTCGGTACTGGTTTACTCTTTCATTTTTCTATAAGAAAAAAGAATTCATACGAATCGTTCATTTATCCGCGTTATTTTGATGAATAAATTAAATATTGATCGGTCCTCAATTTTCGGTACTGATTTATTCTGTCATTTCTTTATAAGAAAAGAAAAATTGATACGGATCGTTCGTTTAACCGAGTTAATTTGTTGAGTAAATTAGAGGGGTAAGTACCTGAAAAATGAGAACAAATTGTCATTGCACTTGGACAATTTTCTAACACTGATTTATAGTATTATTCGGTATTCGATTTTCGGTACTGATTTACTCTTTCATTTTTCTATAAGAAAAAAGAATTCATACGAATCGTTCATTTATCCGCGTTATTTTGATGAATAAATTAAATATTGATCGGTCCTCAATTTTCGGTACTGATTTATTCTGTCATTTCTTTATAAGAAAAGAAAAATTGATACGGATCGTTCGTTTAACCGAGTTAATTTGTTGAGTAAATTAGAGGGGTAAGTACCTGAAAAATGAGAACAAATTGTCATTGCACTTGGACAATTTTCTAACACTGATTTATAGTATTATTCGGTATTCGATTTTCGGTACTGGTTTACTTTTTCATTTTTCTATAAGAAAAAAGAATTCATACGAATCGTTCATTTATCCGCGTTATTTTGATGAATAAATTAAATATTGATCGGTCCTCAATTTTCGGTACTGATTTATTCTGTCATTTCTTTATAAGAAAAGAAAAATTGATACGGATCGTTCGTTTAACCGAGTTAATTTGTTGAGTAAATTAGAGGGGTAAGTACCTGAAAAATGAGAACAAATTGTCATTGCACTTGGACAATTTTCTAACACTGATTTATAGTATTATTCGGTATTCGATTTTCGGTACTGGTTTACTTTTTCATTTTTCTATAAGAAAAAAGAATTCATACGAATCGTTCATTTATCCGCGTTATTTTGATGAATAAACTAAATATTGATCGGTCCTCAATTTTCGGTACTGATTTATTCTGTCATTTCTTTATAAGAAAAGAAAAATTGATACGGATCGTTCGTTTAACCGAGTTAATTTGTTGAGTAAATTAGAAGGGTAAGTACCTGAAAAATGAGAACAAATTGTCATTGCACTTGGACAATTTTCTAACACTGATTTATAATATTATTCGATATTCGATTTTCGGTACTGGTTTACTCGTTCATTTTTCTATAAGAAAAGAAAAAATTGATACGAATGGTTCATTTATCCGCGTTAATTTGATGAATAAATTAAATATTGATCGGTCTTCATTTTTCGGTAGTGACTAAATCTCTAATTTCTTTATAAGAGAATAAAAATTGATACGAATCTTTCTTTTATCCGACTTAATTTGTTGAGTAAATTAGTGGGGTAAGTACCTGCAAGATGAAAACAACTTGTCATTGCACTTAGACAATTTTCTAACGCTGATTTATAATATTGATCAATATCCGGTTTTCGGTACTGATTTAGTCTTTGATTTCTCTATAAAAGAAAAAAGATTGATACAAATCGTTTGTTTATCCACATTAATTTGATGAATAAATTCGATATTGATCGGTATTTGATTTTCGGTACTGATTTCTGCTTTCATTTTTCTATAAAAAAGAAAAAATTCAGGCGAATTGTTCATTTATCTCCGTTAATTTGATGAAAAAATTATATATTGAACGGTCTTCGATTTTCGGTACTGATTTATCTTCTCATTTTTTTATAAGACAAGAAAATTGAGACGAATCGTTCGTTTATCCGAGTTAATTTATTGAATAAGATTAGGGGGGTATGTACCTGAAAAATAAGAACAAATTGTCATTGCACGTGTGCAATTTTTTGACACTGATTTATGGTATTAATCGATATTCGATTTTCGGTACTGATTTACTCTTTCATTTCTCTATAACAAAACAGAAAATTAATGCGAATTGTTTATCAATCCGCGTTAATTTGATGAAAAAATTAGGTATTGATCGGTGTTCGGTTTTCGGTACTGATTTATTCTCTCATTTCTTTATAAGAAAAGAAAAATTGATACGTTCGTTTAACCGAGTTAATTTGTTGAGTAAATTAGAGGGGGAAGTACCTGAAAAATAAGAACAAATTGTCATTGCACTTGGACAATTTTCTGACACTGATTTATGGTATTAATCAATATTTAATTTTCGATACTGATTTACTCTTTCATTGTACTATAAGAAAAGAAAAAATTGATACGAATCGTTCATTTATCCGCGTTGATTTGATGAATAAATTAAATATTGATCGTGCACGATTGGGGGGGAGGGAGAGGGATGGAGATAGGTTGAAGAAAAGCTGCTAGGAGAGGGGGGAGGGAGAGGGGGAATGAGATAGGTTGAGGAGTGGAGGGAGCGAGAGGGAGGACGAGGAGGATTAAAAGGATGAGAGAGAGAGCGAGGGAGAAATTGTGAAGGAATGGAATGAATGGAGGAAAGCGAAAATCGGCGTTAAGAAATAAGAATTATAGGAGTAACAGCGGCATAGAAATATAGATATATACATATGTATAAGAATAGATGATAAGCGAACAATTAATTATAAGAGATTATAAATTAATTAATTATAAGCGAGCGGGTAGATGTAAGATATTTGTAAAGTAGATTTAAGGAGGGGCGGGGGATAGAATAAAGAAAATTATTCTGTCGAAGCATCGGATATTTGTTAGCTTTATTTTAATTAAAGAGGAATGTGTACTATTAGAAAATATGTTAGCAACTAATTGGACAGAATGTCAAAGTTGTTGTAACGCTGTTTTCGGAAAATAATTAAAGGTCATGGTAGCGTTAAAGAGTGGAATTTCATCTCATGCGAATTTTGTCCCGTTCTTATTAAATGTTGGATTATTCGCTGCGGACAATAACTCTTCTACTTTTTATCTAATATTCAATGATAATAAATAACATTTAACACCAGTTCAGCAGACAAAATGAACAGACCTATTGTCTGGCATAGAGATAGTAACTATGGTTGCATCACGGACATAAACCGCTTGAAAGTGGATGTAGCACGGACTTCCACCACATTCAGATTTTACCACCAAGACCTAAAAGTGGATCGTAGCATCGTAGTTCCCCTCTCAAAATGGATGCAGATGGCGCCCTTTCCCAGTGCGGAAAGTCGGTGTCGTCGATAACACCGTGTTGGCCGCTCTCACGTTCCTCTCTGAGCCAACAGTCTTTATAGTATTTCGTCGGTGCTCGTTACTTTCAACGGATCCCTGCTACGAGCCGCCACTATCTGTACCAACAGCTCGTAGAATACTTGTCATGTCTCGCATTAATGTGTGTTTGTAATCAACAGATGATTGTGGTTATTTTGGACAGGACAAGATACGCATAAATTTACTAGTAAAATCGCACCCGACAGTATGCCATTGTCGATTAACATTCTTTCTCGCGAAAGACATTTAAAGTAAAGTTTACTGTGAAATGTTTTAACAAGTGAACTCTTTGAAAGAATGACCCACGACTGATAAACATTTATCATAAAGATATAGAAAGGGTGTAAAGCGAACAAGTGTAAAATAGAACGTCGCAAAAGATATGTCGGACTTTGAGAATCTTACGATCAAGCAGCCTATTAGGCGCTTAGAGATCCAAATTAATAATTTTAATGTCGCTATTCCACACCATGTTGACCTATTACAACGATACAGGAGCAACATTAAAAAGGTATTATAGTTGTTTCATATTCTAAGAATTTGCACATTTCTCTCTTATCCTTCTCACAATCAGACAAAATAATTTGTCTTATAGTATCAAGATCAGCGCGATTGGGAACGAATCCAAAGAGAACACGCAAATGTCTCCAGAATTATTAAACAGCTGAAGGAATTATTGTATCAAATGGATACTCTAAGAGCACAAGTGCTTGACAGTGACATTGAACAATTTGATAAGTTAACAGCAAAAGCACGAACGAGCATCATGGATGCAATTAGAGAATACTTGGGTAAGAGATTTGACACATGTGTACACAATATTGTCGACTTTGATCTACATAAAAATACAAGTTAAAGATTCAATGTACATATATATAATAGTATAAATATACACTTACAGATATGGAGTTAAATTTGTGGTTATCGCCACCATCGTCACCAGTAAGTGGAAATCAATTACCACATCCAGTTGCAAATGTTCAGTTAGAAGCGCAACAGGAAGATTTGCAGCATCAACAAGATTGTTTGCAAGTCTGGAACTCTTTGCAAGGCGACATACAACAGTTACAAGAGCTTTTTATTGAGTTTGATAAAGTTGTACATGTGAGTTCATGGTTTCATATAATAAAATATGAAAACACAATTAATACTGCTGCCAATCTTCGCTAAAAGAAAAGAATAATTTTAAAATATGTATGCATCAGCTTGAAGACTTTACCGTATATGCTTTATAATTAATGTATATACATATCAACAAATTTTTCTTTTTCAAATAGGATCAGAAAGAAATGGTTGTTAATACAGAAAAGAATGTTGAAGAAACCCAGGTAAATGTGAAGAAGGGTTCAAAGTTTTTGGAGAAAGCTTTAAGATACAAGGCTGCTGCTTATCCCCTAGCAGGCGCTGTACTAGGCACATGTATCGGAGGACCTATAGGTTTGATAGCAGGATTGAAAATTGGTGGACTAACTGCTTTAGGCTGTGGTATTTTAGGTGAGTTTTGACATGAGTTAATTCTAAATGGGATGTAGAATTTGTTAAAGCCATGTCCCTTATGGTATATAATACGAGCATAAATAGGGGATAAACATAGTAGGCATATTTCTCTCTAGGTTTTACAGGAGGATCATTGTTGAAGAAGAAACATATAGACACATACAAATTTGAAACATCTAACGAATCAGTTGCCGATGTCAATAATGTTAAAAAATCTACTTCTTGTCCTGAAAATTTAGAAATGGACAAAAAGCAGTTGTGACGAAACATTATTTCGTCAAAATGTGATATTAGTATTAAACATACAAAGAAATGTAATATTGTGTAATTTTAAATTGTTACGATATTTGTACGTTTTACTATATCTCACATTTGTTTCTTTTTTATTTTTTAATATTTCTGACATCATAGTTAAAATTATTTTTTATATTTATTTAATTGAAAAAAATTAAAACAAGTTTGCACAACTGATTAAGTCTAAATTTTTATTAAATTTTCTTAAAGAGTATAGACGGTCTACTTTGCAATGTACAGTGATATTACCGTACTTTGCATATCTTTGGTGAAATTGTTACTTGCAGCAAATATCTATAACTCGCAAGTGTCCTGTTATGTACAGGCATGTTCAAGATAAGGATAGGTAGGTTTCGTTTTTATGAAACAATGATGTTAGTATGCCTTTCGCGTGCCTTGATGTCGCTTCAAGCTATTCAATATACGTATCGTGTTTCGCAACATTTTAAACGTGCTAGTTGCTTATCTATCTATGATTTGCTACAATCATAAGTATGCATCCGAGTAAAAGTTATAAATAAAATATAACACAGATATATATTGTGTATCGTGCTAATGATAAATTGATATCAATTTACGATATTATACCATGGATATGTTAAACTTGAAACAGACTGAATCGGATTATTTGGAGAAAATGATTCGCGACACTCAGCAACATAAGAAAAATATGTCGACCAAGATATAAAATCGTTTTGTATGTATACACTGACCTAATTACGTGTAAATTATTAAAACTACAAATCTATTATTTTCTATAATATATACAATACACGTGATTGTGAGAACTGATCGAATCACGTGCGAATTTACTCTCGCATATTATGTATCGGGAATATAACAATATAGGAAAATAACACTGGTGAAGAACTTGAGTTCTCTACAAAAGGCACCCAATACAGTATATTTAGCAAGTAATAAAATACATCGGTGTTAGACACGGTACAATACTGAAATAATCGTGTTATTAAATGTAATATATACATTTCATTCATAATGAAAATACTTAATCTATAGGGACTAAAAAGTGTTTCATATACTTAAAAAAATATTAATAAATATCTAAAAACGCGCGCGTGCGCGCACGCGGTGTGTATAATATTAAGTGACTATATCGGCATATCTTTTCTCTTACAAGGTACTATGTTTATCATTAATGTTATTCCAACATCCCTAAATTCAAAAGCAACACCAAACACGCATTCAGACTTGTGGAAAATAGAAATTGCTTACTTTCTTTCGCTTAGTTTTACTTTCGAAGATGAGGGATGCTCAGCCAGGTGCACCGCCGATGTACTTATGGCATACTCGTGTCATAATTTAAAATCAAGTAAATGCAATTAATTACTTTTGATTGCAAATAATTGTAAATTAACATGATTAAGTAATTAAACCATAATAGAATAGGGTGCATCGGACTGCGCCAGAAACTCTTTGCAACATCCTACGATCTACATCTACGCTTCTAAATACTTAGACTTTTGTCCACGAAATATCAAATAAACAGTTTGGTCATTGTCCATAAGGTATACTTACGATACCTTGGCAGACCTTGGCAATATAAGGATGGCTAATGAACCGTCTTACTTGGAAGCGGTGTAACAATGCAGAATCACGCGACAGTTTCAATGTTGTTTCAATGTCACGTTTATTTGAAAGAAGACTCTTGGGATCAATCATTGTTTCCTTTATATATATATAATCAGATATATCTCTTGAAAGATGCTTAATTACAAATCATACAATTGCATGTGTTTTAAACAATCATGTGTTATACACTACAAGTGATACTTTCAGTTAGAGGTTATCGCAGGCAAGGTGTCACGAGTGATTCTGCATGGTTGAACCAACAGATTTGATATGAAAACATTGGAATATGGAGTGTGGATTGTCTTAAGGCAAGCTTACCATTTTAATTGATCCTAAGCTGTTCCAAAACATTGATCCACACATGTATCAAAACAACTTTATTCCTTAAACATAATAGTACTTCGTAAAAAGAAATTTGGCTTTCTAGTACAGGCCAGAGTTAGGTTTACATCTACGACGGGTGATAAAAGATTTTACAAATGACTGACATAAGAAGAATATAATATATATATAATATATATATATATATAATCTGAAAATTATATATATATATATACATATACATATATATATATATATATATATATATATAATTATCGATTATATTACCTGTGTGGCTACGTCGTATAAACCTTTAATATTACATTATATTACAAATTAGTATGTGTGCGCATTGATTTGACATTCCTGAACATATAGTCTCCAATAAATCTCGGTGGAAGCATCATCGAAATAGTCACGATAATGGATGGTAATAAGGAAAATATATATTTTCTTCTATGCGAAAAACTGCATTTTTCTCTTTCTCTCTCTCTCTCTCTCTCTCTCTCTCTCTCCCCCTCTCTCTCTCTCTCTCTCTCTCTCTCTCTCTCTCTCTCCCCCCTCTCCCTCTCTCTCTTTCTAAGACGATCATATATTTTCCTTAATGTAATAAAGCGCGAACACAATGTGGAGTTGGAATATTACTATTTATTTTATAACTATGATATAAATAAAAGTATAAAATTATCGTAAAAGTCACCGGAAATTTTATGGGATTTCCCGCCGCTGTAATCAGGAATGCCAGTGTAAATGAGGATGGCGACCAGTGCATATCGTTTATAGTACTGTAGCATATCCCGACATGCAATCTTACATTTGGTAGCACACGTCTATCTAGCGTCGTCTTGAGCACATACGTGAAATCAATGACAGCATAAGAAAATACAGGTTGCTATTACTTCAAAAAGATTCTCGGTGAGCTTCATAGGTAACGGTTACGCGATCTCACATGGATCTGTGGATTTCGAAGCGTATCAAAAGATAGATTCACAGACAGATGAGATTCTCACTCGGGAGCTGTAAAACGCCGGTCTGATTCGGTACCATCTCCGCAGCCTTAGGAAAATAATCTACGTTTATGTAATGCGATTACAAACTCGTAGCTGGGCACACGTGTTAAGCGTAATGCGGCGACCTACCGAATTGCATGCGACTTGGTGTTCTTTCCCATCGTTACGTCATTGAACTATCAATTGCTCAAGGCTGCAAATGTCGCCCTAATGCTACAGTACGCGTGCGACGATATTGCCTCATTGCACCTAACTAAATATGCCACGACGACGTGTCACGTTCTCCGTGATCGTAACACAAACTTGCAAGTGAATCGATGATATACACTATCGCTTCTTCGCGACTGTTCCCCGTGTCGAGAAGGATTCACAGATTAATAGACATGTCTTGATCGTAAGACGTGAGATTCGTATCGGTCGAAGAAGCGGGCGTAACCGTTGCCGCCGTCGCGCTGGTCGGCGACTGCAAGGGGGTGGAGGTCGTAGGTAAATGCGACGTAGGACTCTCCAACGTGGAATTCCAATGACTTCTCTCGGTGCCATCACCTCCGTCGTCCGACACGATCGAGATATCAGCGATAATACCGCTTTCTGTACGAAGTGAGAAAGATAAACGTGCAATACACGGAAGATTGTAGATCGACAGTTTGTTGATACAAAAATATACTGACCGACGCTGCACTGGCTGTTGAGCGTGGTACTACGATGATGAGGTCGCGGGCTTGTGTCCAATCCGAGATTGAGTGTCGTAGGGGGGCCGCTGCTGCCGCCGCTGCTCGAGGACGAACTAACGGAGATCACGCTATGCGGTCTCCTGCTGCAGCGACTGGAATCCTCCGACATCGACACCGCTATAGAGTTTCTGAATCTAGGTGCTGTGGGCAAACCCAAGTCGTCGTCTCAAACTCACTCGTCGACCAACGAAGCGGAAGAACGGATTTTCAAGAAAGTATTATTGCCGTACGTACTCTTAGAGAGTTGAGCTACGCTGATGGAGCGATCGTTAATCTGATCCGCACTAGGCCTTATATCTAAACACGGTTTGTTCCCAATGCCCATGCTCGACATCTCCGCCAGGCGCACTTCTAAACACAGCAAAAACGCCGTAGATTATTAATCGCTCCTGCGGGCGGTTTTCTCTTTTCAAACGAAGGACGAACGAAGCGAAGACGACGAGTCACCTCTGTTTCGAAGCGCCTGTTTCCACAGAAGGTTGCTAAGTTCCTCGGTCCAGGCCTTCTTGATGTCCTCGCTCGCGCACTGCAGCGTGTACGTGTCGCCCGGTTTCCGCTTGCGGAACCAGATCTCGAATTTAGTGGGCGAGTCCGCGATAACGGCGGTCAGACCGATGTCCGTCGTCTTAATGCTATGTTTGTAGATGTAAATGTCAAGATTCTGGAAGAAGAAACGCACACGCATCGGCGATATCTGACGAAATAAGAAAGCGCGCGCGTCCGCAGCGTGTGGAGAAATCTACACGCGCAGGTCCTTCTTACCTTCCTGTCGGGGAATCTCCTCGCTTTGCTAAAAAGTATAAGATCTTCGAATAAGAAAACTTGACGCAGGCACTTCTTGCCCTTTCCTTGCCAGACTAAAAACTCGTTTTGCCGCAGCAGTCTGCCTTGTTCTTTCACGTTTACCTACGAAGGAAGATTGCACATCTTGCGTGACCAACTACAATATTGACGGGTGCCGCCGCCGCGTCTTTGGTATTTGGTTTGTTCGCCGGAAGATATATATATATATATGTATTCTCGATACAATGTTTTGCTTGTTGATTTTAATCGCAATGAAACGGGACTTACGTCGCAATCGCGAAGCGAATCCATCGCCAGAAGATCGTTTCCGTGGCGCAGCTGAAATCGTACCATCTGCTCGGCCGCTCTCAAATCCGCCTCACCCTCGACCATCGGTTTCATGCTGTCCTCTTTCTCCTCCTTCTCCTCCTTGCCGGACAATTGCTCCGACAGATCCGTGCCGGCTTTGACTAATTGCTGAAGTAACAGAGCGTATTTGCCCATTCGCTGGACCGGCTTCAGCAGGTAACTGGCGAGGTCCATTTTGTCGCCCAGCTCCAGCTGCTTCTGCTTGAAGAAGCTCGTGCCGTATTCCGCCATGAGCGAGTCCGAGTTTGGCTTGTTTTTATTGTACAGGGCGTAGAGATAAAACTTCTTCTCCTGCGAGACAGCGATTCGCACACACAACGTCTTATCTTTTCTAATCTACCTGAGGAGACGTGCAGTATTGTTTACGATCAACAGCAAGATACGATCAGAACTCACATGTCTGAGGAAACACTGTCCCACTAACATGGGCGATTGCTCGCACTGCTCCAATTCGCGCAGAAAGTGCTGGCTGTGAAATTCGTATATCTTCTCGACATTCCCGAAAATCACGTTCCTCTGGCCACGGAGCGCCTGCGGGATGTCCTCTCGCACGAGTTCCGGTATGTAGTTCTACGCAGGGAAAAATTTACACGTGTGCTACATGTTGAGAATACGTCGAGGTACGGCGAAATTATGCTAAGCGAAGGTGTCTAACGACGTAAGCGTGGCAATTACCTCTATTATGTACTCGAGGGATTTCACGTAGTCCCGTTCAGTCTGTATCATCTCCCTCATTATGAGCAGTATTGTTCTGCAAGGTGAAATTCCTCGTTAAAACCAAGTCGCATACGTGTAAGAATTCGTACGAGGAAATTACGAGGAGGAACAATAGATCGCTGCTCTAACGACGCGGCGACGAGACGGAATATCAAGCGACGCGCGTAGGACATGCTGACGCGCCTAGACGTGGCGATAATATCGTGACATTTTATTCCCAATTAACCCGATACCAACGTCCTCAACGAGTTTTGATCGCTCGACTGCTGATGTTCGTGTAACTAATTAATTTCGCCTCTCGACCATTTCAACCGAATTAATCGCGCGCGCGGCGACGAGGTGAAACTCAGCGCGTTTTTTTTTTTTAACTTTTCTCTTTAACTCGAATTTTTCTAACTTTTCAAACGTGCGCGGCAACACACGACAGAGAGAGAGAGAGAGAGAGAAAGCGTACTTTTTCGTCTTCATCCCCGGCGCGATGCTGGCTGATCTGTGCAGGTGAGAATTCACCGGTGGCTTCACCAGCCTCCGCGGTGCCGGGCTTCGCGGGGGTGTCCGTGGCGGCGAGTCCAGCAGCTGCTCGGCGCTCTCCCGAAGTTCGGCGATGTTGTCCAGCACCGGTCGGCCGCCGCTGCCAGCTGAGCCGACGCTTTCCATCGGACAAGCGTAAGACGCGCTACTGTCGCTGTCGTCCCAAGACGTTCCTGAAATAAACGCGATCCCGACGTTAAGATACCTCCGCTCTTTCTATCTCTCTTTACCACGATCGTTTGTAAGGATTTATCGCGCGCAGATCAGGGAGCGCGCCTTACTTTTGATCAAAGTGTCGTCCCAAGAGGTGGACTCGGAAGCGGCGAAGGATCTTCTCCTCGCTGGGCTCCCAGGGGCGGAGGTGGTCCTGGCGATTTCTAGCGCTTCCGCGCACTTGTTCCTAGCGATACGGCATTGCTCCAGCAGGACCTCGTTGCCGAGTTTCTCCGCCAAGGTCATCATCTCGCTGAAGTGCTCGGGCGGCAACGGCGGCCTCGCCATGAGGAATTGCTGGGACCTCCTGTCGCTCGCCATGCGAGCCTCTTGCGCCCACTCGTAGGCGCGGTCCTGCAGGAGGCAACATCTCGACGTGTCCTCCAGGTACTCGCGTCTGTCCTCCAGCCGGGAGCCGAATCCGCGTAGATGCTGCTAGACCGCGACTCGCGCACCCGCTCGCGCTCGCCGCCTCGGCAAGGTCGCTCCCTTTGTCCAGGTGTCTCTGTAACGAGCGAACGAGAGGATGCAGGTGAGAGTAACGAATGACGAGCGCGAGTCCCGATCGTAATCTGAGCGCGAGCATTAATCCCGCCGCCGCCGCCGCCGCCGCCGCCGCCGCCGCCGCCGCCAGAGAGAGAGAGAGAGAGAGAGAGCCAAAGGGCGGTCGGGTCGTTTCCCCAACGTCGCTCATTACGACGCTCGGGGCTTCGGTTCCGTCTCTGGGAACTTTATCTAGAATTTCATTTGGAAGTTCGCCGTGAGAGAGGCCATAACGGAAGTCAGCCGAATATTTCATCCGCCTATCCGGAGCTATCTCTCTCTCTGTCTCCCTCTCCCTCTCTCTCTCTCTCTCTCTCTCTCTCTCTCTCTCTCTCTCTCTCTCTCTCTCTCTCTCTCTCTCTCTCTCTCTCTCTCTCTCTCTCTCGCGCAACTCGAAGGGGCGCGGGAGGAAAATAAAAGACAGGGACGGGGCTCCCCCGCGCCTCGCCTCCCGCGATGAGACGCGATATCCGTGGTGGTGTCTGGCGGATCGGAGAGACGCCAGGCGGAACCTCCCGCGGCGTCCGACGCGGGGGCCGTCCCTAACGGAGGGGCCATAAATCGGCATATGGGGGTAAATAATGTCGCGATAAGTCGGGGAGGAGCTGGTACAGCCGGCCACTGTGCGACACGGCATCAGTACGCTCACTCGCTCGCAGGGAGAAGAGGCTGGTTAACGCGCGCGTTTACACGGAGCGGAGCGAGCGAGCGAGCGAGCGCACGCTCGCCGGTATTATATCCCGACGAGCGATGATACACGTACTCGCATTCGTGGAAGCGTGAAATCCACTTAGACACGGCTCGGCTACATCCTGGAACACGGGCTGCTCCGATCGAGTGTCCGTGACGAAAGACTCGCGCGCGCTCTCTTTCTCCCTCGCCTCTCGCCCCACAATCGACCGGGATATAATAGCGCGCGATCGATCGCGAGGGACGACGCAGGGCCCCGCTCGCGCGCGGGATAGAAATCGTGCGATCCATCCCGCTCCACGCACGGTTACGCGTTAATATCGACGACGTAACGCGTCCGCGATAAGTCGTCCGCGACCGAGGAGGATTTCTCCGAGCGGTTTACTTATTACATACATAATGATGCATTAATATGCGATCGAGGACGCGCGGGATAAAATCGGAAGCTGTTCGACGGGTGAACAGCGCGCGGGCTGCGTAAGAAGAGAGAAGGAAGAGAGGAAGAGAGAGAGAGAGAGAGAGAGAGAGAGAAGAGTATTTTCACACGGACAGCATTTCGGCCGACGCAGGATTACGCGTCGCGTTTCATCCCCGATAAAGCATATCACGCATACCGTAAAACGCTTTAATATCGTAAGTAAAAAATGTATGTGCGCGTAACCGCAACCGCCGCTGTAATAGACGCGTCGCCGCGTCGATATCGTGAGCGTCAAAGAGAGACGAATGTCTACCCCGGAGGAGTGACGCGAGTTATTCGAGTCCGTGTTACATTTTATCGCAATCCATTAAGCGATAATCGCATCTGCGACTGGGTAAGCTGCGGAAATTACGAGCGTTTAAAAACGATTAAAACGGCTACACGTGTCGCTTGATTGCGCCTTTATGCGCCGGGGGAGGGGGAGAGGTCATGCGACCACTTCACAATTCCACTCAAATATCGTCAACATCGATAAGGGAGACGAAGGTGTGTCTGTTTCTTGGAGAAAGAATGCGTTATTGATTTATTTTCAACGTTGGTCGGAAAAAACATGAAAATTGACTCGTTAAAGACAGAGAGGAGCGCTTGAATTCTTTCAGGCGACTGGATTACTTCGTTTGACCGGCGATAAGTTCTCGCATGATACGCGTCTCATAAATTCGCGTGTCGCATCGCATCCTCGGGAAATATAATTACCCGGAGATGCTTATGTTCACTTTTCTTTTTTACGATCGGCTCGACCGATCGTCGGTGCGGCGCGCTACGCGCGAGATGTTTCCTCGCTCGCATCCGAGCGCGCAAACATCGCTGCGCGCACGTGACGAGTTTCCCTCAAGAATCTCCGAGTGACAGAACGATTTTTCTCCTCCGTTCATGTTGAAGCACGAGCCGTTATTACGCTAATGGCACTATTGGCGCTATTGAATAGCACGCAAGCGTTGTTACTTACGTGCATCGATATAATCTCCCATGAATTCGTTCAGAGCAACAAATATGTTCCAATTACCGTGTTATTTTGCCACAGCAGGAAGCGCGTTGAAGAAAAAAAAAAAAAAAAAAAAAAATTCCTTCACGCGTCGCCAACAACGCGGTTGAATTCGCGTCTGCTCGATTTCCCGCTGTGACTTTGTAGTTTCACTCGTAATCGTGCGATACGACGTTTACTCACGGAAAAGAAAGAAAAGAGACGCAAGGAAAGGGAGAAGGAGAAAAGTCACTTTTCCCTTTTCGCGCGCTTTCAGACATAAATTCGAGCCCGCTCTCCGCAGCACGCGGCCAAACTCATCGATATAAAATCAGCATACGATCGACATGAACTGTCCGTGCAACGTAATTACGAGCCTGGTCGCTGCAAACTGGACTCTGCGAGAGATGACCGCCGATTAAAATCGTAAATCAACATCGCCGCGTGCGTCGACGATATTTCTGAATCTCTCCGCCACCAGACTGTCCGGGGCTGTGCGGGGCAGCGGCAATATCGGGATATTGAATCTTCTATCGAAACGGATCGATTTGCCGGTTCGCCCTCCCGATCATGAGTGGTTTGTAGAACACGTGAAATATTGCTGCGAGGGGTCGTGATGCATCTCCTGCTCTTTCTCCTCGAATCGTTTAATCAGGGGGTCCGTCCCGGCGCGAGAGATATAATCCGCCGCGGGAGTAGGCGTGCGACCCTCTTAAGCGCGATGGACGGGCGCGCCGCGTGCGCGTGCATAGGGGTGATTATTAAATTTCATGTAGCCGGCGGCTCTCTCGCGTCGCCTCGCGCACCGCCCCGCATCCAAGTGATCCGCAACGCTAACAATCGCCGTCGCGCCCGTTTCCGCTTCCCAGCCGCGCGCGCGCGCTCGCCTCGCGTGCCTCGCATTATCGTTAATTGTTTTCGCGGCTAAACCAGCCCGCATCCTTACGAAAGTCCGCCAGCTATGTGCTAATTCATTGTCGCGCCCTCATTGACGCACCGGTGATATCTAGACCGCTGCGAATCATGGATCACCGTGAAAGTACGCAAGTGCGTTTGTAATTTATCTCGTCGCGCGTATCTTGCGTATCGACAAGTAAAAAAAAAAAGAACCAAAGTCGTACACTGAGAGAAAAGTATATGATGTTTGGAACTATAATGATATAGTGACTAAATTATAGTCCGAAATATCATATTTATAGTAAGTATTGCCATAATATCGGCAATAATTACGATATAGGCATGGTATAACCAACTATATAATATTTTTTATTAAGAATTGTAGTAAGTTAAACTAAAATTATTGTATGGATACAAATATAAAATGGTAGGTAAAAGCAACTCTTTTATATAGTCAATATTACTAGAATATTTGCTAAATGATGACAGATGTAACTGTATATGAATATTAAATCTCACTTTATTTGTGAATGAGAAATTATCATATATGTGATAAAAGTAACTAAACAATTATCTCAGACAATCATTGACTATATATTTGTGTTTGTTCTACTATATCATGCAGGTTCCACGAACTATAAAAATATGGTTGACGCCAAAATGAACTGTAAAATATAGTGAGATTATAGTTAATTCAACTATATTTTTCTATCAGTGTACCGCTATCTCCTTCTCCGCGATCGCTGTTTCGACCGTCTCGATGTGGATCGTCGCTTACTTTTATTTTCCTCCAGTTTGCGCGTATCGTCATTGCGCACTTGGGACAGTCCAAATCTCTCAAAGGAAGCAATCGCATGCTAATGATGCATAATGTTAATTTTATCACATTTCTCAGCGCGTCTAGCACGATCCCGTTTGTGCATCTCGTTAGTTTGAGATCGCTCGACGAATCGCTTGGAGCGTCACAAAAAGCGCGCGTTGCAAGAAAACAAAAAAAAAAAGTCGTCGAGCAAGCACCGTGAAATATAACCGAGCAGGCGAAATACCTGTTTAAAAGGTTCACGTTTGACACGGTCGTTTAACGCGTGCAACTATGATTTGCACGCGAATACACGCGGAAACAACGAGTTACGACGATATAAACGTCCGCTTAAACGATTTAAAAATCACCGCGTGGTGGTTCGTTAGGAGATTAAAAGAGCGTTACGCTGAAATTGTTTCACAAATCCACGCGCGGCAATTATCGCAACGCGGAATTTAGAGACGAGAAAAGAACTGTAACAGTAGATTGCGGGTACGGTATTACGATGGAATGTAGAAAGGCGCCTCTCTCGGAGCATAATTATTCGAGCGTGAAACCAGATTAGCGCTAAAACGTGACCGACCTCGCGGATATCGTAGATCTGTTGCCTTCTCCGTACGTAGTGCGCGCGCGTGTATGTGTGCCCCTTAATTGACACGTATCGTTGATTATCATAATAAATTGTCAATTAATATCAAGGAAGCAGAGCGTGCGCGCGGACAAAGACCTCTTGCAACGAACGCGCCGCGCCGATTATACTTTCTAATTACGGCAACACGCACACACACACACACACACACACACACGCGCGCGCGCGCGCGCGCGCGTGTCTGCCGTGGATGGAAAGTCCTATTGTGGCCAGAAGTTACACGCCGAGTCGGAAGAATCAATCGCGCGACATGAACCTCTTCGCGAATGCGAGAGTCATGAAAGTGCCTAATTAACGCGCTTCTTCGCGTGCGCGCGATGCGTTTTCGCGATCGATGACTCGAGATTATCGCACGATGGAGACGTGCGAGAATTTTCTTCCATCGAATTCCGACGAAATTCCGTTCCGCGTTAAATCGTCGAGAGAAACTCTTAATTGGCTAACGACACAATCAATGACATACATGGACTCTCACCTGATTC